AAGTTATCAAAATATGTAAGAATGTTTCTGTTAACATAATAAATGTTATTCTAGTTTTGCAGAGTAGAGTCAAATATACGTTGAATGTTTCACTTTGTGCAATGTTTTGTTATGTACGCATCTAGAGCATTTTGTTTTGCCGTTGATTTATTCTTAGTCAAGTGTTTAATTTGCACAGGATGAAAAGCAATGTTTCAAACATTTGGAAATTCGATGGAAATATGGGAATCGGGATATCAGTAGTTTCCATATAGTTTCCATTTCATGGAAACCACATAGTGGTTTCAATATAGATTCCCGACATGAAAACAATCAACCTGTGGTTTCCCGTAAGTTTCACAAGATAGGAAACCATGGAAACATGCATCAGTGGTTTCCATTTAGATCTATAGACATAAAACAATCAAACGGTGGTTTCCCGTAAGTTTCCGAAGATAGGAAACCATGGAAACATGCCTTAGTCGTTTTCATATAGATTCCCGACATGGAAGCCACCAATCTGTAGATTCCCCCATGTTTCCCGGGTAGGGAAACTTTGAAATTATATCTCATACTAATTTCCACCTACATGTACTTTTTATTTTACAAAAAGTTAAATATTTTCTGAGGTTACCACATTTTTCCCGACTTAAAACGTGTACACATATCGATCAAAAGAATTAACCACCCCTTCGAACAGTTGAAATGACTAGAAGTGTATTTCTGTGTGATAAAATTTAATATTTCATGACCGTGAACGCAAATTAATATCTTCTGTCTCAAACTCAAACTGCAAAGAACCTTTCGAGAGAGGTGAAGAGTGCCCTTGGACCAATTTTCTAGGTCAAATGTCAGTATCAAAATATACTGTATAACTTTATTCAAAGTCCTAGTCCAGAGTATAATATTACTCTCTCTGTGTAATCTAGCTTTCGTGCAATGGGATTGAGGGTCTGTAATGATCTTCAGCCAATTTGTTTTAGGTCAAATATATATATTTTTTTTAATCTCTCATGATATTTTTGTTATTATAAAGAGTATGCTTACTCTTAAGCTGACTCTACTAAAACCAGGGTTTTCTGAGTTATTAATACATTCTCAGTGACATACGAGGGATGTCCAAAAAGTTCTTGGAAAACAACGTTTTTGTTAAAATAAATGCTTCTATATATATTTTTGTATATCAAAATATTTCTTATGAAAAACCAAGTCAGATAGATATGATTTTTATTGATGTAACTTTATATTTTTGTAAAAATCGGGGTCTTTTAATGTCGCAGATAATGCACACGCACCAGTCTGAGGTTACGCTAATTTCATGATAACCTCAAACATTTTTTTTTTTTCAATTTTGTTTTATACATGCTTATGGACACACACTACATTTCCTTTATTATGTCACACTGCAAAGTGCTTTTCCATTTTTGGACAACGCTCGTCTTGTGGCTGAAAACATTATTATGTAATGTTTTTTTTTTGTAATCATAAAGTATTAAGCATTTATTTTCAATGAAACATTAAAGACTGAAACCATACATGTGTATGTATCATGGTCATGGAAAACTTTAAGACTGAAAGTAATCAGTGATACATGTATTGGTCCTTTAAAGATCGTTCAGATTTCATTTCTAAGTTACATGTATATTCAAGCATTATAATTCTGATATCATATAATAATGTTGTATGAATATTGCAGATCGTAGTTAATCTGAAGAAAATACCAGGGAACTGATGTTGAAAGAAATACTTATTTCCGCTTATGATTGAACTTAAATGTGAAAGACTGTTCTATTGTTTATCTAAGATATGTGATTTTAATTAGTATTTTGATATAATTTTTATTTTTAAAATGCTGTTTTTGTACATCAAATGAATTATTAAACAAATAATATTTAGGCGCGTAGCCAGGCGTACGTTTGTACGCACAGACGTCCACATCATTTTCAAAGAAAAAAAAGAAAAGAAAAGAAAAGGAAAAAAAAGGAAAAAAAGAAAGAAAAAAAGAAAGAAAGAACATAAAGAAAGAGAGAGAAAGAGAATATTGTTAAGCGTACTCATCATTTTTGCAAAATATTAGAAAATATTTTTTTAAAATTAAAAACATACTAAGAAACAATTAAGAATTAACGATATAATACTATCGAATATCGCTGAGTATTTCACACAATAAAACCCAAGTCGGCTCGAGCTCCCTTAAAACAAACGATGATTTTATTTAATGCCAATAATTTTAATTTCTGTTACTGGAAATGAACTTCCAACCGTAATGCTTAACTTCTGTAACGATACCCCCCCCCCCCGCTAAAAAAAATAATTTTCCTATCGGATTCATGCGAGACTTCAAAAATCATAATTCAGCCTTATTTATGAACATCAAAAATTGAAAAAAATTGGTAAAATTCAGCTTAACCTTTAAAAAATATAAGTAAAAGTACCTTAAAACCAATAGTATTTGTACATGTTTTATTATTGTTGCAAAAAGTTAGATACCCGAATTGTGAATATTTTTGAACATTTATTTAAAAATGTATACAATATACATATGTAATCTGCAAGAAAATGAGTTGAAAAGAATTCTTCTGTCCTTATTATTTTCAATCTTTAGAGATGTATTTTTAACATTAATGTAAGCCTGACTATCAGTCAATTACTTGATCTGTCTAAACCAGTCAACCACTCTAACCAACTACTTTATGTAACCATACGTATTTTGTCGAGCTTCAAAGGTCTAGAATTGTTTTAGTGGGTTCGTCAAACAACCCTATTGGACATTTCCTTCCTCATTTTTGAGTGTTTATCCGCATTTTGTACAAGAAAAGAACAGACCTTAATTGTGGCTGCGTAACAAACTGAAAAAGTGTAAGGAAAATGCTGTCAGAAGGCTCAAATATGCACATCGGAATCGTCGAAAATTCACCAGCTTCCGGGGGCTTCGGCCCCTGCATGGGTCCCCGCCAGGGCTTTGTCCAGGACCTATTTGGCCCTTAAGGCGGCCCCCAACTCCCCCAACTCCGCCTTTTCAGACGTCAACATCAAAAGTACCCTGGCTACGCCCCTGAAATTACATGGTAATGCGTGTTTCTCTTACATGTAATATTTCTTTTGGATAGATTTTGAATAGAAAACACAGTTCACCAAGGAAATTACTACCATTTATGTTTACAGAGTGTACATGTATTTTGATTTAAAATTGCTGTTCCCTTTTCACAATCTAGACATTTCGTATTGCTTCCTTTAGAAAACCTAAGAAATCCTTAACTTTAACCAGTAATTTCCACCAGGAATGGGAACCCGATAATTCCACAAAGATTTCATCACACGGAAACTGTTACACTAAAACTTCTTATAGTTTCCTGAGTCACGGAAAGTTTAGAAACCGTGAGGTTTCCCGATCTTCCAAATGCTTTCCCGTAAAAGGAAATCTAAAGATTCCATCAAGTTTTCATTCCACGGGAACCACTTTGCTCCGATTCCATGTGACTACCTGAGTTACGGAAACTTTAGGAATCGTGAAGTTTCCGGTAAAAGGAAACCCAAGGATTCCATCAAGTTTCCATTGCATGGAAACCACTATGCTCCAATTCCATATGGTTTCTTGAGTCATGGAAACTTTAAATCTTGAATTTTCTAGAGCCTCCATGTAGTTTCCCGTAAGAGGAATACTAAAGATTCCACCAAGTTTCCATTCCACGGAAACCACTACGCTCCGGTTCCATCAAGTTTCCTGATTATGGAAACCAGTGGAATCTTCAGGTTTATTTTGAATCATTTATTTTATTAGTGCTTTATTTACATAAGACAAGCAAGTGTTTATAGGGCATAATAATTTCTAGCCTTGTCTAAGGAATCTGTAGATTCCGTATTATAAATAATATATTTATATACGATGTATATTTTTATGTATTTATAAATATTGTGTGTTTCTCCTAAATCAGTTTATAGGTCAGTTGTACATTGTAAATTATAATGTTAGATAATAATTTAGTCGGTCAAATCGGGGTCTATTGCAAAATGACTTCCTTACATAATTCTTAAAGGAGTTTAAACATTTTCTATCTTTACCAAGAAAACAAGAAGAAAAGAGATATACATATTCCAGTTCATAGGTGAGAAAAATAAACTTCCATTAGTAAAAGTCAACCCCTAAGTATTAGTACAAACATTAATATGGACATAGAAATTAACTCTCCATCTTATACAAAGAAAATGATAACTATACGAATCTATTTTTGGAAGTGAAACAACACCTTCCAATTATTAGGAGATTAACTTACTTTTAAAAGTCAATCATAACACAATGAAAGTCAAACTTAGGAATCCTATCTTCGGACAAAAGACCAGAACAGTGAACAAACATCTCCGGTATAAAAAGGAGGAACCGAGAGAGCCCAGAGAGACGGCTACTGAGCTACCAAGAGAGTCACTGAACCTCGTAATTCCTCCACTGAACTGGACTGCACACTTGGGATAGGTTTACGGAAATCCCGAAATTTTAACTTTGAAAAGACTTTAATTTTAAATTCCAAAATTGTTCACTTTGAAACTGTCGCGCCATCGCATCATCGATATCGCACCAACGCATCATCGCTATCGTGCTATCGCATCATCGCATTATCGCTACATCGTACCATCGCATCATCGTCGTCACGCTATCGCGCCATCGCTTCATCGGCATCGCATTATCGCATCATCGCACCATCAACTCAAATCTCGATGGTACGATGATGCGATAGTGAACTGCATGGCCCTATCCGGATTCCATAGATTTCGTTGCTTTTAAATTCCTTTAAATTAATCAATATGTTTTACAAACCTTTTTATAAACAATTAAGGAATACATTTTATCTTTAAATGTGATCAGAGTATAATAACATTTAAACGTCGTAGGAAATGTTTACCGTGAGATTTTTGCTATGAAACAAGGTACTTTTTTTGTCCAGGTCTTTTGTCATTTCCCCAGAGATACAAAACAAATTCATTAAGCTTTTCTTCGTTTTTCAAAATAGTTGTTTTTTATTTACCTTCACATCGTTCTCCTGTGAATCCAGGAAGACATCTTAAGCAATTTCCAGATTCTATGTCACAGTATCCATTGCAATGTTTAGGACATGCACTTGAACAATTAGAACCATAACGTCTAGGATCAGAACAACCTTCAACACTGAAGGTTGTTGAATCAACATTGAAAAAAGTTTGATGAAACAATATCATTTTCTTTTTTTACATTTTAGATCGAGTTAAGTTTAAATAATTTACTAACCGTATACCTCCACCTCACAAAGTTCAGCAAAAGCAAACAGAGAGTGTTCAGATGTGTTGTTGTTTCTTGCGGGTCTTTCGTTATAATAAATGACATATTGTCCAGGTAAGGACATCTTATGTTAACAATAGCTGGTATGGTTGCTCTGGTGCAGTTTCTGTCGTGAAAACATAAAAAGCCATCTTCCATGCTTGTTGTATTCGATACGTACAAAGAAAACCCCATGAATCTTCGCGTAAATTGATTTGATGAATCTAAAAATATAAAACTGGAGGTTAGAAATCTACGTATAATTTGATTTTTACATCCGAAATCCCACAAATCTTATAAAATTTCAATTTTAGTAACAAAGACAAATTGAAATCATTAATCAAAATAAAAAAAAAAAAACAATTATGTATATAAATGTAGTCTACTTGCATTAATCATTGTATCATAATCAGACTATAACTGTATTTGGAGAAGCATTTTGAAAGTATTTCACAGAAATTTCTATTTCTGGTAACATCAATCATTGAAATTAAAACCTATGCATTAATCTTCTAATTTGTAATTGGACTGTTTACAGGAGTGACATGCAATGATATATCATATTCAGGAATGTTGCACTGCACTCTGTTTCTTCATTTATCTGAACTTCAAATAAATGTTGTCAAAATATAAAAATTTCATACGCTGAAACATTACAAAATACTTACTCCACACAAGATGGTCAGTTCTGTAGTGTATCATTATATTATGTATGCGCTGAATATCTGTGAGGTTAACCCACCAGGTGGCAGTTGTCCTTTTATCAGCTGATACACCACACTGTCCCCCATGATATGTCAGGTATGTTTTCAAACCGTCAACAGCTTTATGAGAACCAGAAATTGTGTCGTTATGTGATGAACTCTGCCAGGTGGGTTTTAAAAGGGCCAGGTTTTCTAAATGTAAATAAATCTTAAGAATCATACTGTACACGTATTTATTTTCGTCCAGTATTTTTTTTTACTTTTTGCCTAAGTAACACTTGAAAACAATTTTAACAACATTTACTTTTTGCTCAGTCACGGTTCTGTTTTACAAATTGTACGTTTTTCTTTGAATTCGCTCCGTTTAAATTCACCCAAATTGGTCCATGGCGAAAATCAAGAAAATAAAAATTGGCGAAAATTACCTCCATACTGAACTTTTAAAATGTTTCATATGTAAATTTAATTCTGAACAAAGCCTACGTCGCATCTGTTTTATTAAGGTGACATAAAAATGGATGTTTGACCACAGAGTAAAATATTTAACCTATCCATGAAAACGTTTGAAATGCGCTCAGGTCAAATTGTAGGCATATTTTTTTTTTGTTATTGTTGTTGCATTCCTTGATGTTTGTCAGAAACAGAATTAACCGAATTCGTTAACAACCAGCACAAGATACATGCATGTTTAAAGAAAATGAAGATATACCTAAACTTATATAGACTATGTTCTGTGGGAAAAATACATTTTGTCGACACCTCGAACTATTGAGAGATTTTAAAATGCTAACCCAAAGAATAATAAAATAATAATAATAATGGTTAATTGTTCAATGTACATTGTAAATGTCCCACATCCGTACATTTTGCATAATAATCTAAAGAAGAGTACTTATATGCAACAATTTTGCATAAGCATAAAGCAGCAATTCTTCCAATCACTCCCGCCAAAGCATTTGGGAAACTTTTATGGGTCAGAGAGGACTGATTTCAATGTTTTGATAACAACGTCAAAACACCTAAACTCAATTTATCAAAATGTAAGATAAAAGTTTTTCATGGTTGAAGAGGAAAAATATAGCAGTAAATTAGCTTTCTCACCGTAGGCAGAAGAATATACGAAGAATCCAAGGAAAACAAAAACGGTATACATAACTGTTCATATAAAAATCTTAAACTTAAAATTAAGCTACATATACACTGAAACGGTTACTCCTAAATATCAAATCTTCACTCGCAGCAATCATTATATTTCATACAGACCGCTAACGGAAATTAGTTCTTCAAACTTGTCAAACACTTAGAAGAAGCTGTTTGAAGAATAAATTAATTTGTTCGTAGCGCATGATTCAGTATAATTTAATAGAATTAGGATGATTATGCTTACGTTAGTTAATTAATGTTGGATTAAAATATTATATTTAAGAATTATGAGTCAGACCTGAGATCATTTTATTCAGCCATTTTTTTCTACATTAAATATTTAATACCAGTATACTTTTTTCTTTGTTCATTTTTATTAACTATACATGTAACAGCTTAAACGTCATTTTCTAAATGGTAATATTCTACAGTAATTATGAGGGAAAGTGTTCCAGGCTGATGTGTCCTATGTTTAGAATTGCCAGGAACGTTTACAACTATTGCAAGAAAAATAAGAATTTAATTTGCTTGACATTAACCCTGGAAACAGATGTAAAAATGAAAAAAAAATATTTATATAATATAAAACAATAAGGGAAATATTTTATGTTAGCAGTGCCCTCAAGCTGCAAATATTCCTACTTATGAATAAGGCATACTACTGCCATCCACGAAAATAAATTAAGGTCTAAATGTTAAAGGTATATTTCGTGTAAAATTGAACATGTAAGTGATACTTCTATAAGAAAGACAACTCAATATGTAAATTTAGCATATGTGCAAATATTCAAAAATACATCTAATTTGTTCGCCATTATCAATATTCAATTAATGTATATACTCAGTTTTATCGAAATTCCTTTTAAACAATGGTAGTACGAGACATATAATTCTTGATAATTACAATAAGACTATAGGTTTTGTTTTCAAACACAGTGTAATAAAAAGAAGAAGGATAGACCCAATATAATAAAGATGCATGTGAACCACGACCTTCACCTACATAGTCCTGCAAATTTCCATCGGGAAATTATGTCATCTACTAATTCCAAGACAAATATTGTAAACGCTTTTATTGCTCCGACATACCCACAACGTCTCGTGGTGTGATGCAATTCGAATTTTAAGGACAGATGATACATTTTTAAGGAGACTTAATATTATGTCAAAAGTCTAGAAAAGTGGATATTTCTTAGAATATTTTTTTCTCCTTAGAGTCAAAAAATGAAAAAGATTTAGACAGTTTAGGTTTACAGATAAAGGCAAATTTTGGAATATGTTAGCCTGGGGCGTTACATATGTGTGTAATATAAATTTGAGTAAAAATACAAAGCCAGGGGAAATTAATGGAGAAAAGAATAAAGAAAAAAATTGGCCTATGTCAGAAAAATAGAGGGAGAGAAGTGGATGAAAAAGCAATACGTGTGTGTGGAGAGTTGGGGATTGGGAGATTTTTTTTTATTTTGAACATATTTCAAACATCTTAGGCACCTTAAGAAGGTTGCGTAAGAAATATATCCGTTATCTGGGTTAAGATCGACGTATACCCTTGCTAGAATCCTCATAACTATTTTTATCTATTAAACATTAACAAAATACAATGAGTTGGATAAAAATAATATTCAACTGAAAATCATGAATGAATCTTTTTATCACATGGTTTGAGCTACTGTGCTCGATTAGTAGAACGCTCGCTCCGTGATGGGGAGGTTATGAGTTTTAATTCTGGCTGCTGCTGATTTAAGCCAACTATGTAGCTCGACACTTTAAAATGAAAGTAAGTATTCCTTCGCATGAGATCATAAAAACCAAGGTCCTAATCAAGATAGACGTTGACACGATTGAGATCACTCAAAACTCCATATTGCGTTAAGCGCCTAAGAGCCTAAATTTGAAGTCCGTTACAGTTCATGGTAACGTCTTTATATGAGTGAAACATTTTCAAATGGGATGTAAAAGATAAATTATTCGATCCGTTGCATTATACAAACGGACAGTACCTTTTTTAACAACTGGTGACAGAGGAAGAAGAAAAAAGTCTTGCTGAACTTAAAAAATCCTGTCCAATCATGAAAAAAGAATCACTTTTATTTTATTACATTTTTTCTATTATTCACCCTTTTCCCGGTCATTTGAAGTATTTAAAAATAAATACTGTGAACTTATATGGTTTTTCAGTTAAAGGTTTAAAACATATCAGCTCAGCAGAAGGACATTTAAAGGAAATGATATTTGATAATATAAATGAAAAGTATGAATGAAAATAATAGTTGGATCCACCTAACCTTTGAACTAAATACTATATTGGAATATACAGTGTATAAGTGCATTTCGGTAGGTACAGTGTACATAATCTTTTTTTTTTTTAAGTTTTTCTTCCTTGTCCACACCAAACAAGAGAAGGCCGTTGGGCGAGCTATGTATCTACATGCACTATGGTTCCTTTCGTGTGTTCTTGTGCGTTCTCAGCCATACGGTAAGAAAACAAATTTTAATGCCTATTATTATTTTTTTTATTTAACAAATCTTGATTTGTACAATAAAAAGGCTGTAGATGGTCGATGTAGTGAGCGTGGACATAAGTAAATATTTTCATTTGGGTAAGGGAAGTTGGTGTTTATATTTTTTAGCAATATTGACCATTAACGTGAAAAATGAAATTCTCATGTCTTCTTGGGGAATATGTCACATCTTTGATTATTATTTGCATTTAAATAATCAGTGTGTTTTTCCTTTAAATAAAGGTACTATATAAACCTTTTAGAAAGAGCATCCTTAGTAGAAAGAGAAATGAAAAGGAAAACCTTCGGTATTTTGTACCTTATTTTTCACTCAGTCCCACAGATAAAGACTTAACGGAGACATAGCGGAGACCACTTGCATTGGTAAATGTAATTGTTTGAGATAAAGTTTTGACAAATCCAGGCTACACTGGGCCAAAGGTAAAAAATGATGAACAATTAGATAAATTGCGCGCAATGTGCCAGAGAAAGAAACATCACCCCAAAGTTGACAAGCTCAAAAACCCAAATCGCGCAATCGATTAAGGGTGTAATAGCCATTATTTTTAGCTGTTTCTCTACATGATGTGAAACACTTCACGGTTATATAGTTCAAAACACTGATTTCAATACATAATATCTTTGATTCTCATCTGACCAGTTTCTGTAATTTTTGGTCGTGCAGTACCAAACAATTAGCATATTATCACATCCTTCTTTTCACTTTTCCTCTAAGTATATTTTTGCAGCAACTGTTTGTGGTTTTAAAAAGAATCTTGCAGTTCTTCTTTCGATAATATAATATAAAATGGTCCACAGGTAACATTTGTGTTATTTATAACATAGTATTTCCATAAATTTTCCACTCACCACTAGCCCTTGGACACCTGCTGTTTTTGTTTAATATTCGGCACTTAGAGCCATTGAGCAGGGAAGGTTCTATTTGTCGCAACACCTACGGTCTCGTCCGAATTACCTGTCTCCCCACACAGAAGGATTCAAACCCCAACCGTAATGGTAATCTCCTTACTTCTCCACCCTAGTGCAGATTCTTTAGCCAACATGCAATGCAACAATTTGGGATCGCAGATATATAAAAATATGCTTTAATATACATTAATGTGTGTCAAGTTATGGTAAGCAGTATATTCTGCCATTTTACATGTTAAATATTAGACCTCGCAAATTATTTTTCGATGAACGGCCACATGTAAAATTAGAATAATTGTTGATTATTAAATATTATCATTCTTCAAAAATAAGAAACTATAACATGTGCATTTTAATTTTCAAATGCTCAAATATTGAATCAGCATTAAATCGGGTCATCATTTTTATGATTTTTTTTCACAACAGTAATTGTGTCTCTTTGTTTTAAAACTTGACAATCGAGACTCTCAGATACCACTAACGTGTATTTGTTAAAAAAACGGGCATGTATGAGATAATGTATCAAAATATGAAGGTAATATGCAAAATGTTTTAAGTAAAAAAAATCTTTTAATAAATATTCACAAAAGGAATAATAAAACATGCAAAAGAAAAAAAAATCTTTCTTTTTTCCATTATTGTTTCCGTGAATATAATTTTCGGATTAAGTACATGTGTATGCGTCTGTGTATGCTTTCTGTTATGCATAATTATTTAAATATTGAAACAGAAAATAGAGTGTAATTCTAAGAACGAAATGAAACACTATATAAAAAGAAACAAAAAGACGAAAAAAGGTTATAAGTTTGAGAGAAATAAGTGACTTAACTTAGTGCCAATATAGGAAATGTTATGATTATAAAAATCACGATATATTTATAATCATATTTTAAAATATAAGTTTATAATAAATCTATACACTGAAGAGAAGCAAAACACAAAAGACCTTAAAGTTGATCATATTTTTGCTGCGTTCCTTTAGGAAACTAACATCTTGATATTTCAGATTAAATATAGAAACCCCTCATTACGGAAAACGTGATTACTTAGTCAATTACCTAATCTGTGTTTTTGCCGCTGCATTGATTTTGCGAAAAAAGAAAAAAAAAACCCTTTACATGCTGTTAGAATTTTGCGTAAACCTTATATTCAAATGAATTTTATCTGCATCACACCAAATCTTAAATTTATAGATATAAAGTAATGTAAGGAGATTTTCATTTATCTTGACAGAATGTTATAGTTTAATGCAAATGTCCATTCTTTTATTATTATTAAGAATCTTATTTGTCCACAACTTTAAAGATATGTGTCAATGAATGAATTTAAGTGATTGAAATTGATAGTGTACAAAATATAAACCAACATATAAAAAAATTGAAATGCATTCTGTTTATACATTATAATAATTATATATAATGTGAGTAAAGGAATATAACACAGGCAAATGAATATGATGGATATGTGATATTTTGTGAGAAATTGTATATGCAAGTTGTGTCCGTTTACTGTTTAAAATTTGCTTAGGATAGATTATTTCTTTCATTAATATACAGACCATGATTTCGTGTGGAAAATACCCTTACATATGGACTTCTAGAAACTTTATCTTTTCTTTTTAATGTTCTTGCCTCCCTTTTTTTACTTACATGTATTTTGTAAACAAATCAT